TGGTGTTTACATACAAAGCTTGCATTAATAAGACAGTTGTAATAGGAGGAACATATGGTGGTGGGGAGAGGAATGGGGGTGGTGGGAGTGACGAGTGGCGGGTATTATTCTTTTAATTATAAGATATGCAGTGCCCAATACATCGCGCGATGACACTGCAATATCAATAGCTGCAGAAAAGAAAAAAGATTTACAAAATACTTTCATTATTTTTCAACCCTCGCTTACAAAATTACTCCAACAGGGCTGAGTATTGTTCAGATATAGCCTTTGACAGTAATCATATAACTCGAGTATATATATCCTTGATTTAAGTCATTATGGGTTATATTTTGAATAACACTTTGTATTTTCTAGATTCACATTTATAGATGTCAATGCCACTTTGTAGTTCTGGATTCACCTATATAAATGTCAATGTCACTTTGTATTTCTAGCTTCACATATTTTACATGTATTTTCAATTTGTATTTTTAGATCCTCTTAGTTTAACTATCACTGTTAATGATACATCAGAAGCCGTTGAACTGATTTGTCGAGTAGTTGACGGCTACTCTACTAATTTTACCATGAATAACTGGACACATTACATTGATGGGCAGTTTGTGAGAGAACTAGAGGGAGTGGTAACAGAAGATAGAACAGCTCTATGTTTAAATAACACCATATTAAATGAAGGAACTTATGTATGTAATGCTAGTAATGGTATTAAAGATTTTAAAGGTTCAGTTCATCAAACAGATGAAACATACATCAACAAAGAAGGTAGGTTTTATTTGATACTGAGTTTCGTGTCATTAAGAAACAGAACGGATTTAAGTCTGTAAAGGATTGGGGAAATTTTAAAATAATTTGCAGCTTGATTTCTACTGAAGTAAAATGACCGTGTCGGATAATTGATACGATATCTTCGCGAAACAATAATCTGTTTTCGTCTTTCAGCACCGCCGATGGTACTAGAAGTTTCCAATGGTTCTGAGGCACGTCTTGGATCAGAAGTTGAAATTAAAGCAACGTTTATAATTGGTGGAGACGTATATAACACCACGTGGTATCAACAACAACAAAATAGTTCTGACATGGCTGAAATATCAGTTGCTACAAAATTTGAACATGGAATCAGACCAGTAAATATATATGGTACTTTAATAAATAAAAACGTTACCACTATATCAGGCAATGTAACAATTAATAAGATGGCGGATCTATCTGTTACTGTAACTGTATGTACTCCGTATGGTTGTACAGATTCTTACCAACACATAACAGCCTTACCAGAAATGACTTCACCAACCGTATCGACCGTTGCTAGTAAAGGTATTTTTGCTGTTAACACATTTTAATAACGTATCAAAATATCCAGATTCGTTCAAGCTAACCAACTGTTATAAGAATTAAATTAAGATGACAATACAAAAGATAAAAGCATAATAACACCTTTACGATGAAGCAGCTTTAGCTGTACAATGGTGTGTAACGGGGATTTGTATTTTTCTTTTGCTTCTATATCATTGACGTCGTTGGCGATTTACATTCACATCGACAACCACTCCCATAACCTACATCACGTAAATTGAATGAAATTAAAGGTCTGATTATCAGGACAATTTCATATCGATGATGCAGATTCGTACCAAAACACGTAACAGGTAACTTATGCATATTTTAGATGCATTATGGGGGGCCTGACAAGGACAGTGCCTAGCCGCTCAGATTGTACGAAAACCACGGTCTACGCTGGAACTCATGACAGTTGGAATTCAACTGTTGCCCTGGCAAACTGTCTTTATAGTATGGCATAATCGCGTATTCATTAGCCCGGTTGGTGCAGAAAAGTAGACGCTAAACCTGATTTCATTCATTCATTATTTATAGGTGATGCAAGAAAGGTGTACGAGACATTGTATTCATATATGTCAAGTAATGAGTCTAGATAAATAATTTCCTAAACTAAACTAACAGTTTATGATTTGATACATTTTACAGTCAGTAGTAATAGTCCAATATTATCAAATGATGGGTTGCCAGTCAACGTTCCCATGATAGCAGGAGGAGTAGTTGGTGCTGTTTTTTTGATAGGTTTAGTTATTTTGATAATAGTCTTGGTTAGAAGACGATCCATCAATAAAAACTGTAAGTTCCTACTTTCGTTACTCCATTTTATATACCGAAGAAATCAATCATTTTATTCACTTAGACTTAAGAATATTTTGCATTACCATTATTGGCTTTTTATTTCGAAATCTAGAATTGATTCAAACAGTTTAAACATACCTTTTGTACTAGGTTTTGTTTATTGATTTTTAAAGGGTGGTGATTTGTAATGGATTGAAATACGGTCGCCATTCAATAATTTAATTCAAATTTAAAAATCGATGATGAAGACTTTGTTTATTATTCTAACAATGGTAGCAGTGAAAATGGAGACTAGTCTATTCTTGTAAAAACTTTCCCCATTCATTACTTCGCTAAGAATGAAGTAATTTGAATGAATATTTGAATATATTGCCTTTTCATTATCTTTTTAAAAACCTATTATAGCGTGATGGGTCGACTCCATATCTAATCTTACATGATACATTTTAAGTGTTAGATAACGAATTTGAGTAAATTGAATCATCCATCTTCATTAGCACAGCCGGGGCAGAATAGTAAGACGTTAAACCGCATGTCATTTCATTTCGTTCCATAATGGCGATCGGCGGCTTGACGTGAACAATGGTGACCATAAATTGACTGTTTATGTAATAGTATTTACTAATATGATGGCTGCTATAAATTGCAATTAGACAACTGAATACAAATTCCAGAAATCGTGGGGTACAGACCATGTGCTATTACACTAATTTGTCATTTAGGATTTTAGTACTGTATCTTATTTATTTATCTGTTTACAGTGAATTCTGAATCAACACGGTTAGTTTTATTTATCCATAATTTGATTATTTTCTATTTGCCTTTAGGTTAATTCTTTAAAAAGCATGAATACAGCCAACTAAACATCACAATTTTATCAAACATGAATACAAATAACTAAACATAACATATTTAAAAAGCATAACTAACCTATAAATCTTATAAAACATGAATACAGCTAACTAACACATAAATCTTTATAAAGCATGAATACAGCCAACTAAACAAGACAACTTTATAAACACGAATACAGCTAACTAACCCATTAATCTTTATAACGTATGCATACAGCTAACTAACCCATCAATCCTTATAAAACATGATTACAGGGGACTAAACTATACATCTTTATAAAACATGATTACAGAGGACTAAACTATAAATCTTTATAAAGCATGAATACAACTAACTAGAACACAAATCTTTATATTGACATGGTCCTAAACCTTGCCATAAATGTTAGTCATATTTGCTTTCAGATTAATGTCTCTAACTGTGACATAAAAGTGGTACTTTCTTGTGTTTCAGGCAAAATACCCCGAGCAGTATCGAACATAAGAATCCCACGTTTGAGCCAGCCCAAGACGACAGTAAGTATAGCATAATTCACATTATTTCGCTCTTTACTGATTTAATGACTGGGGACCCGCGTTGACTCTGTGAGTAAGACGTTGGCTTTCTAACCAGGAGGTCTCGGGTCCGCTCAAGGTATTTTCCGACGCGGATTCTCCTTGTCAGCGGTGGGAGCTGAACAAGGACAGTGTCTGGTCGGTCGGATGGGGCGAAAAACCCAGCTCCCGCATCAGTATACACAATAAAGAACCTTTGGCAGTTGGAATTTGAAATAAGATTAGGCCGCAGCGTCGCTGTCTAGACATTATCTCCCTATTGCACACTGTATGGCGTTGACACAGCTTCCTTGATCCAGTCAGTGTAGAAATATGTAACGATTAACACCATTACATTTCATTTCTTATTTAATGAACAGTAGATTTTCTTACAAACTGACGTAGTTCACCGGAGATTGCCGGAAATCACCGAAGTGTTATTTCCACTTTAAATGTTATTATGTTCAGTGTATAATATGGTCATATTGTAATCAGTCAATCTATATTACATGTATTTACAGTCGACCAGTTATATGGCAATAGACAAGTTATACAAAATAAACAACAGATGAAACGACAACAGAATATGGGTAAAAAGAAATAAATATTTCATTAACTATTCATAAAACAAAATACTCGAAGTTCTGGCTTCGTTATTTTAAGGGATAGGAATAGGTACGTTATTGTTCTATTGTTCTATTCCTATTCTTGGAGTAGGCGTGGTTCGTGGAGGAGTGCGAGGTAGACAAAATAACCAACATGGTAATCAGTTAAAATTGAAATATTCTGACACAATCTGTTTCATAGCTGTAATATAAAAGCCTCTGTACATGATGACTGACCTTTAAGGATACACCCAACATCACACTATGTGTGACGTGTAGTAAATGGTTTGGGGATTTGTGCTAAAGAACACATATGTATAATAATATTATGGCCTTGGTTAATTATTCTCCATTCTCAAAATATTAGCTATGAAGATTTGAAAGAGATAACACCATGTAGAAATTCATTAGGGGAGACCGTTGAGGTCCAAGTGTCAACATCTGGGTTGAGGAATAGAGAGAATGACTTTATTATAAGCTATCCTTGTATCCTATGTATCGGAGCTCAATATAAAACTGTAATCAAGAAACATTTGTATTTGTTGCTCCTATTAATCATACTATTTAAGATGCGATATATTCAATCACAAGTGAGGCTGTCATTAATGTGGAATGTCAGAATAACATTTAAAGATACGTCCTAACCAGTTAAAGAATTACAAATGCAACCACACCAAATAGGAAATATGACGTCACAATTCCTAGACGGCGTCGCTGACATGCTGCTCTGTTCCTGGTCCATTTCTTTATTTACCAGAAATAATGATCTATATTTTGTTGTTGTTTATTTATCAGAAATAATGATCTATATTTTGTTGTTGTTTATTTATAAGAAATAATGATCTATATTTTGTTGTTGTTTATTTATCAGAAATAATGGAGAATGATCTGTATATTAGTGCTGATGATGATCCTACACCAGATAAAGTTGATCACAGAGATAATAATCAAATGGGTAACATAAGTGATTTCTATACTGTAAATCGCATTCTAATTAGTTTTGAAAATATGTTCTTAGCCCTTAAGAACTGTGTCATCGTCCTAATACCCAACCGATTGGAACCTTTACAATCATTGTATCATTTAGCAAATGTTACCCTGAACATATTGAAGTTTTGGCTAGATATAGCTTAAAGATACATTATGTAAGATTTAGATAAAGAGCTAACCATTCTTGCTATAATAGTTCGAAAATAGATAATGTAAAATGAATAATTTGAAAATTTCATTCAAATTAGACGTCTCGCTCCTCCATTTTTAGCTTAAATCAAAATATGGCTGAACTATTCTAATCTATGCAATCGAGAGTTGATTATTGCCTGGATAAGTTAAAGTAGCTAAGTCTCTAACTCAATATCAGCCAAAGTCTTACACGTTGAAAGCACGAATTATTTGTTAATTCAAATCAACATTGATGTTGTAATCTTACCGGGAAAAGGTAGGCTTCTGATATCCAATATTTAAGACAAAATAAACATTTTACCATTTGTACACGAATCGTGCATCATAATGCGTTTCAACGTCATTTGTAACAAGTGAGTTGCGTCCCTTTAAGTGTTAAATAATTAGAATACAAAATGAAATGAAATGGGGTTTAACGTCCTACTGTTCTGCTCCGAACTGGGCTAATGAAGACGGGCATACACCATACAGTGTGCTATGAGTGAAATTGTGCCCGGGCAGCGGCACTATCGCCTACTCTTATATCGAATTCCAACTGCCAGGGGATCTTTTACGTGCATTCCAATATATACACGGGACCTCGGTTTTTCGTCTCATCCGAAGGACTAGACACCTGTCCTTATCAGCCCCTCCGTCCTGCATCCCTGATAAGGGGGAACCACGCCGGAAAATCTCGATGAACTTTCTCGGCCAATGCAGGGATCGAACACCCGACCTCCAGGCTAGCGAGCCAGCGTCTTACCCACTTAGCCACGTGATCCCCGAATACAAAATGAAATGAAATGAAATGAAATAGGGTTTAACGTCCTACTGTTCGGCTCCGAACTGGGCTAATGAAGACGGGCATACGCCAAACAGTGTATTATGGGGGAAATTTTGCCCGGCCTGCTCTTATATCGAATATCAACTGTCAAGGGATCTTTTACGTCCACGTCAATGTGTCGCCCCATCCGAACTACTAGACAGCTGTCCTTGTCAGCCACCCGTCCTCCATCACTGACAATGCAGGGATCGAACACCCGACCTCCAGGCTAGCGTGCCAGCGTCTTACCCACTTAGCCACCGTGACACCGAATTAGAATACGTCGATATGGCGACCATCGGCATTACATAGGCAAAAAAACATGACCACTACATGTGTTAAGCATTACATCAATCAATGAATGTTAATGTGATATGATTTAATAATATAATGGCTGCTTAAACAGCCAATCAGACAACTAAATATAAATTCCAGGAATCTTGGGGTAGAGACCATGTGCTATTACAGTAATTTGTTATTGTAAATTTGACTGCCATTTAAGATTATAGTTCTCTATCTTATTTATTTATCTGTTTACAGTAAATTCTGAATCAACACGGTTAGTTTTATTTATCCGTAATTTGATTGTTTTCTATTTGCCTTTAAGTTAAATCTTTATAAAGCATGAATACAGATAACTAAACATCACAACTTTATAAAGCATGAATACAGCTAACTAACCCATAAATCTTTATAAAGCATGAATACAGCTAACAAACTCATAAATCTTTATAAAACATGAATACAGCTAACTAAACATCATAACTTTAAAAAGCGTGAAAACAGCGGACTAAAACACAAATCTTTATATTGACATGCCCCTAAACCTTGCCATAAATGTTAGTCATATTTGCTTTCAGATTAATGTCTCTAACTGTGACATAAAAGTGGTAATTTCTTGTTTTTCAGGCAAAATACCCCGAGCAGTATCGAACATAAGAATCCCACGTTTGAGCCAGGCCAAGACGACAGTAAGTATAGCATAATTCACATTATTTCGCTCTTTACTGATTTAATGACTGGGGACCCGCGTTGACTCTGTGAGTAAGACGTTGGCTTTCTAACCAGGAGGTCTCGGGTCCGCTCAAGGTATTTTCCGACGCGGATTCTCCTTGTCAGCGGTGGGAGCTGAACAAGGACAGTGTCTGGTCGGTCGGATGGGGCGAAAAACCCAGCTCCCGCATCAGTATACACAATAAAGAACCTTTGGCAGTTGGAATTTGAAATAAGATTAGGCCACAGCGTCGCTGTCCAGACATTATCTCCCTATTGCACACTGTATGGCGTTGACACAGCTTCCTTGATCTAGTCAGTGTAGAAATATGTAACGATTAACACCATTACATTTCATTTCTTATTTAATGAACAGTAGATTGAAAAATAGTTTTTAACCGACTGACGTAGATCACCGGAGATTGCCGGAAATCACCGAAGTACTATTTCCACTTTAAAGGTTATTATGTTCAGTGTATATTGCACACTGTATGGCGTTGACACAGCTTCCTTGATCCAGTCAGTGTAGAAATATGTAACGATTAACACCATTACATTTCATTTCTTATTTAATGAACAGTAGATTTTCTTACCAACTGACGTAGTTCACCGGAGATTGCCGGAAATCACCGAAGTGTTATTTCCACTTTAAATGTTATTATGTTCAGTGTATAATTAATGGTCATATTGTAATCAGTCAATCTATATTACATGTATTTACAGTCGACCAGTTATATGGCAATAAACAAGTTATACAAAATAAACAACAGATGAAACGACAACAGAATATGGGTAAAAAGAAATAAATATTTCATTAACTATTCATAAAACAAAATGGCTTCGTTATTTTAAGGGATAGGAATAGGTACGTTATTGTTCTATTGTTCTATTCCTATTCTTGGAGTAGGCGTGGTTCGTGGAGGAGTGCGCGGTAGACAAAATAACCAACATGGTAATCAGTTAAAATTGAAATATTCTGACACAATCTGTTTCATAGCTGTAATATAAAAGCCTCTGTACATGATGACTGACCTTTAAGGTTACACCCAACATCACACTATGTGTGACGTGTAGTAAATGGTTTGGGGATTTGTGCTAAAGAACACATATGTATAATAATATTATGGCCTTGGTTAATTATTCTCCATTCTCAAAATATTAGCTATGAAGATTTGAAAGAGAAAACACCATGTAGAAATTCATTAGGGGAGACCGTTGAGGTCCAAGTGTCAACATCTGGGTTGAGGAATAGGGAGAATGACTTTATTATAAGCTATCCTTGTATCCTATTATGTATCGGAACTTAATATAAAACTGTAATCAAGAAACATTTGTATTTGTTGCTCCTATTAATCATACTATTTAAGAGGCGATATATTCAATCACAAGTGAGGCTGTCATTAATGTGGAATGTCAGAATAACATTTAAAGATACGTCCTAACCAGTTAAAGAATTACAAATGCAACCACACCAAATAGGAAATATGACGTCACAATTCCTAGACGGCGTCGCTGACATGCTGCTCTGTTCCTGGTCCATTTCTTTATTTACCAGAAATAATGATCTATATATTGTTGTTGTTTATTTACCAGAAATAATGATCTATATATTGTTGTTGTTTATTTATCAGAAATAATGATCTATATTTTGTTGTTGTTTATTTATCAGAAATAATGGAGAATGATCTGTATATTAGTGCTGATGATGATCCTACACCAGATAAAGTTGATCACAGAGATAATAATCAAATGGGTATGTTATAATAGATTTTATACTGTAAATCGCATTCTAATTAGTTTTGAAAATATGTTCTTTGCCCTTAAGAACTGTGTCATCGTCCTAATACCCAACCGATTGGAACCTTTCACAATCATTGTATCATTTAGCAAATGTTACCCTGAACATATTGAAGTTTTGGCTAGATATAGCTTAAAGATACATTATGTAAGATTTAGATAAAGAGCTAGCCATTCTTGCTATAATAGTTCGAAAATAGATAATGTAAAATGAATAATTTGAAAATTTCATTCAAATTAGACGTCTCGCTCCTCCATTTTTAGCTGAACTATTCTAATCTATGCAATCGAGAGTTGATTATTGCCTGGATAAGTTAAAGTAGCTAAGTCTCTAACTCAATATCAGCCAAAGTCTTACACGTTGAAAGCACGAATTATTTGTTAATTCAAATCAACATTGATGTTGTAATCTTACCGGGAAAGGTAGGCTTCTGATATCCAATATTTAAGAAAAAATAAACATTTCACCATTTGTACACGAATCGTGCATCATAATGCGTTTCAACGTCATTTGTAACAAGTGACCAGAAAGAACGAGGCTAGACATATTCAACAACTATGTCAAACGGTGACGCCATATCTTATCTGGGGAGCATGCGCAATAGACTGGAATAACCAGACGCTAAAATTTGGCATTCTGTTGAGACTTATGCCGTATTTCGCTGGACATAACTGATTTGAAACAATTGAATGTATATAAGTTTATATACAATCAGATTACATTATTATATGCGTTGCGACCCATTTGGGACAATTTCTATATCCCAAATATTAGCGATTTAGCTCATTTAATTAAGGTCTAAATTAATAATTTAGAAAACATTTCAGGCCTAAAGAAAGACCTGCAATAGGCAGATTTAGCTCTTGCATAATGTATGTTTAAATAGTCAAGTATCATGGTACCTTGGAATGGTACCATTACTGTTACTATTTGTAAAATCTGATATCTCCTTTTATTCTTCCCTAGGTCTCCCTCACTTCTTCCTATTTTGCCTGTTTCTCCCTAAAAATTGATCCTAGTTTGAGCCCTGCTCCTACACGACATTCGAATTCTATGCTAGTTATAATGGTTTATAGTTGTATATGTTATATTGTCTATATACTATGCTAATACAATGGTTTATATGCTATAATAGTAATAATGGCTACTTGTCTATATACTATGCTAATACAATGGTTTATATGCTATGATAGTTATATTGACTACTTGTCTATATACTATGCTAATACAATGGTTTATATGCTATGATAGTTATAATGTTTTATATTTGTATATGTTATGATAGTTATAATGGCTTATTGTCAAATATATTATGCTAATACAATGGTTTATAATTTGTTTATGCTATTCTTGTTTGTTTTTATAGAAATAATGGAAAATGAATTATATATACCTGCTGAAATCGACACTCGTGTATTTTAAGGTAAGAATAATACTGTTGATATTACTTATTGGTTTGTCGGCGGCATCACTTCGGTGAAAGCCATTTTGCACATACTAATTGGTTGGATGATTTGAACAATAGAGTTATCTGCCCTTGAATGGTCTGTCAGAACATTATAATGAATATCATCATATTAGTATTGTTACTCGTGTTTGATTTATTTTTAGAAACTTACGTTACATATTTAAAAAAGAACACAACACGAAATGTCATGATGACAAATAAGTGTCAAATATAATAATGTCCTCACACCATACATGACCACAAGTAATGTTTTATTTTTCAGTACAGTGGATTGACAGACTGAAAGCCGGGGCCTCAACATTTAGGTGGCCTCTGACCAAGGTGTAGAATATTTTGACACTATCATAAGCCTTTGTTACACGCATTGTAGCCTTAAACCTTCGTCATAGTACTCGTCACGGCTCGACTGTGTTTAAAACACACTTTCATATTCCTCCAGCAGTGGTGGGAGTGGGATTTGGGTGTGGAGGTGGGGTTTATAAGCTAGACCATCCCTTCATCTAAATCTAAATAGATTATAATATATAGTTGTCTGTATTACATGAACTCCCATTATATATATTACAATACAAGAGAAATGGTTGATTTCGAGAATTTGCCAAATAATTAATAAATGAAATCAGATGCTGTAGAAATATAAAACTTATATAACCTTGTGTATAACATTAGTCATAAATCATTTAGTCACAGATTTTGATATATGAAGTTGCGTGTTGGCCTAGAAGATAAACTCCTGGCCTGACCACAAGCAGAATCAAGTATGTTTTATTGTCGGATTTTGCAATGATATACTCCGGTTTAAAAAAAAAGCCGGGAATTATCTGAAGTTCGTATTTTGAGTTTAAATAATCAATCTGAGTATATATTAGCTTGGATTAAGCGGGGTGTTCTCACTTTCCCAGCAGATATTGTTTTCCAGATATAATCATTGGACCAGTACTAATTAGGGTAACAATGGTGTTAATACTATAGTCTTTTTCATATCAATATTAACAACTTTACATAAAAGTTATTTTATTAACAAATTTAGCATGTACATATATATTTTTCATATCAATATTAACTACTTTACACACAAGTTATTTTATTAACAGATTTAGTATTGTACATGTATATTCAAAATCTGACTAAATGTGATATCGAATTTCCGTATTCATATGAAGTCGTCAAACCAGTTAATAATCTTTGTTTTCTTAGGACGTGAAACGCCCCCATTTACATATTGTGATTTATAGTTCATACATGTCATAGGATAGGTTAAATTGAACTGTTCATGCAATAATTAAAACAGAGTATAACTCACTAATCTATAACTAATCCGCTTAATTAGTAGGGTTAATCTGCTGGGAAAGTGAGAACAAACCGATTAAGTCGTGGGATATGTAGATATTAACGTGGATTAAGTCGTGGGATATGTAGATATTTTATAAGAAGCTTTATTTTTGTTATATTTTTATTATTGTTGTTTCTATAAATATTTTTACTACTAGATGATATTATACGCTATTTATAACAGACTGAGTTATTCGACCATTGTTTTTTTTCCAAATAACTGGGAATCAAAAGTAAAATACTAATGAGCTGCAGTCAAGAAGTTTTAATTATCACTATAATTCATTTAAAATAGTTTTCCCTCCAATATAATCATCCTTGTCTGTCATTGTTTTTCTAATATATATTTTATTAGCTTGATTTTTATATTTTTGTTGCATTATTATTATTATTATTATTTTTAAAAAAATATATGTTATTATTACATGATATTAGCTTTATTTTTATATTTTTGTTGCATTATTATTTTTAAAAAAATTATTATTTTATTATTACATTATTCAATTGTAAGCTATTTTATTTCAATTGTAAGCTATTTTATTTCAATTGTGGTATTATGAACAGCTGTGGGTGTCTAATTATCTCATTTAATTCTGTCTCAGATGTTATTTTTTATAAAACCATGCTATAGAACACTGGGCATTGCCAAATACATGTAGTAACAGCGATTTTTGATATTACCAATAATAGTATAGACATCGTTCTATTGAACATTAAGCACATCTGCTATGAAACCAACTACTAGCAAATATCAGAAATTCTGAAACAGTTCATATTTTAAACGTGAATTCGCCTGGGTTTTTAATTAATGTGTCTTTTAATTGTATTTCTTAAGATTTAATTGTTATTTATGTGTTCTGTATAGAGGAGATCTCACTCATATTTCAAGATCCCTGGGAAAGAACGATCTAAGTCACTTTTTCAATGAACCCCAGTTAATGGCGCCAGCTGGTAGCAGATTGTATAAGCTTTCTGTGGAACAATCAATTTCAGGAAAAAACGATCGGAGTCACATCGAACCAAGGCCCTTCTGAAATGGCCTCCCGGACAAATACGTCCATCGTACCCTTTATTTGACCTTAATTTGGCTGAAAAGTGGAACTAAGTTTTTGTACTGGTAATTATGATTCTTATTAAATATCATTTTGAAGTTGTAATTAAAGACACTCGTTGTTCTGTTCGCGTCCAGCATTCTCGTCCAAAACTCTGCTTTGCCTTTTATGCGAAAAGACAAAAATGTGACTTAGATCGTTCTTCCCCTGTTGTACAAGGCTTTAAAGCGCTATATGAATGTCCATATAATTTTAAAATAAAACTGTATAATGTTTGATATTTACCTAGTTTGTCATATTCTGTATTAAAAGAATATATAATATCAGGTTGGTCCATGAATATAATGATATGTATTTATATTACAAGACCATATTAGGCCAAGGACATGGGACACAAATTCGTCTTAATAGTACAAAATAATTTCTGAGCTTTTTTTGTCTTGACATTTGAGACTACATGTAGCTAAACTAAAAGGCCTGTAAAATATAATAAAAATGTTGACCAAATCGACTGAAATTTGTTGTGGGTTCATCATTAGCGAATCGTAACGGGCACATAATTTCTTACTGGGTTTTATTCGATATTGCGATATTATTCAGTAATGAATAAACGGATCTATGTCTAATTTGACATGAGAGAGAGAAGAGAGAGAGAGACAGAGAGAGAGACAGACAGACAGACGGGTTTAACGTCAACTCGACACAAACTAGGTCATTTCGGGACTACCATATGGTTTAATTTTATTTCAATAATTTGCTTGCCCGTTGGGGTCTTTAGCAATGGGAGGAAACCGGAGGACTCGGAGAAAACCGACGAGGATGGACAGGCAATCCTACTCCTTGTCACGTTCAACCAGGGAATCGAAACCACGCCAGTTCACTCAATGGCAGACTTATAATACAGCGCGCACGTGCTAAACATTCAGCTATTCTACCTCCCCAATTTGACCTGAACATATTTGGTGTTTGTTTTCAGTAATTAGTAATGAATAAAAGGATCTGTTTTAAATTTTGACATACAATTAATTATAATTTGGCATACACTCATAGATGTATGATCAAATTGTCACGTAAAAATCTGGTGACAATCTGATAGAGTGGAGTGTATCTTTAAATCCTCCATGATCAAATTATGATTGAGTTATTTCCCTTTGTCTTCGACACAACGTCAACATTGGCGTATCTTATACAGACAGAAGTCGACTTGTTTTGATAATATCTTTCCGAGCAACGATACACTGTAGATGTTTATATTGTTTATGTACTTGCATTTTATATACTCCATGTAGACGTTTTACATTGTTCATCTACCAGTATTTAGTCCCGGCAATATGAGTAAGTAAATGGCGAGGAAGCAGTAGAATTGATGTTATTTGTCTCCCTTCATGGTCTAAAACATAAACAATCTATTTCATTGTGAGTAGATCTCGTCAGTACATTCCGTTGTCATTGACATTATATTGCTCTTGTTACAGTATCAAGTCACATGATGTAATTACACCTCACAGAGATGATCCTGATATACCAACGTGAGTTGTCTGAGATTACATCTCGTCATTACATTCCGTTGTCATCATTGTTCTTATTACACTATAACGTTACATGTAAATATTATTTAAACTAATTAATATAGGATTCATATTCTGTCGGGGGGGGGGGGGGGATGGCCGAATGGTTAGCACGTGCGCGCTGTATCATAAAGCCTGCCATTGTACGTGACAAGGAGTAGGGTCGCCTGTCCAACCTCGTGGGTTTTCTCCGGGTCCTCCGGTTTCCTCCCACTGCTAAAGAATAAAGTTAACCCATATTGGAATAAAGTTAACCCATATTTTAGTCCCTAAATGACCTAGTTTGTGTCGAGTGGACGTTAAACTCCATTTCTCTCTCATATTCTGTCTTCCGCGTGGGTTTGGGTGGCCCGCTTTAGGTCATAAGGTCAATCATTAAGTTAATACAGGTCCACTCGACACAAACTAGGTCATTTCGGGACTAGCATATGGTTCAATTTTATTTCATTAGGGGTCTTTAGCAGAGAGAGGAAACCGGTGGACCCGGAGAAAACACACGAGGTGCAACAAGCGACCCTACTCCTTGTCACGTACAACTGGGGAATCAACACCACACCAGTTTGACTCAATGACAGACTTTATGATGCACCGCGCAATCGGTAACCATTCGCCCCCCCCCCCCTTCTGGAGAATATAATTCACTAACGCTATAATAAATCAAAATAGATAATGAAAACTGAATATAGTGAAAACTATATTCTGAACGATGTTATGGATTTTTAAATTTGGACAAAAATATATAGCTCTAAATTGTGTCCAACGATGGTCGATTGTTAATTCGGTCTCCGCGAAGCCGGTTATATTATCGGTAAGAGCAGATATGATGCTCATTGTTTAATTCCTTCAACATCTGATCCATCCGAAGGCCTTGAGAGTTGATTATAAGCGTGGCATGTGAATTAATGCCTCAATAATAATTTATTTAACATTTGAAGCTAGAAAAACAACCTGCGAAAGACAAGTTTAGCTCTTGCATAATGCCACTTTAATATGATCTCTCATGGCGATCTTACAGTGACGCTGTAATTACGAATTAACTACCTCGTAATTATGAGTTAAAGGACAATATTGGTGTCAGTCGTTATCACATATGGTGTTAAAGGACAATATTGGTGTCAGTCCTTATCACATAATTTTGTGATGAACTGGTTAAACAGTTCCTAATTTTAATAAAGTGATCATTGCTACGATAGATGCGTAATGAAGGGTTCAACAAACGGAAGTGACGAACGCCAGCCAAAGGTAAACACGATTTATCCTTCTATATAACTGACTGAAGTGACGAGTGACAACAGATACACGGGCGAATTTCTGCTCACTGATAATTTCTTCGAAGACCAAAAGTTGATATATGAGACTGTGGGAGGATATCTGACAATTCAAATAAAGTAACAGAATGTCAATAGGTAAGAAAACACGAGAAAAATAGAAATATTCTATTCAATAAAAACATGGTAATGCACGGACTTTTTCTATTTTTGTTCGTTTTCTCTTATCTAGTGACAATCAATTTCTTATTTGAATTGTCAGATATAATTTATATTTGGAACGGGTTTAATCAGTTCTATCACATATGTGACAATGATTGACACCAATATTGTCCTTTAAAGTTACAATTTCATTTTTTTTAAGTTATATTTTTAAAATGTATTAAAATAAAGCCCTAAAATAGATGGTATCTATAAACAGTCCTACCTTGTTAAAGAATAATCCTATAATTCACTATCGCCAGTTGTGAAATTGGCAAAAGTATCATTTTCAACTTCAAATCCCAGCGTTTGAAGATAGCTATTCCATGGTGGAGAATAGGAAAACAAGGGAGGTAATTGTGTTAACACATGCGCGCTGTCATTGAGAGTCAACTGGCGTGGTTTCGATTCCCCGGTTGTACGTGACAAGAAGTAGGGTCGCCTGTCCAATCTGAACCATGTGCTAGTCCTGAAATGACCTAGTTTGTGTCGTTTGGACGTTAAAGCCGATTTCTGTCTCTCTCTGTATAATATATTGACTTGACATGTTCTTTGTGAAACGAGAATCTGTTTCTGGTCAGGTCCGTGGCCTGGTTGTTATAAGTTAATTTGACCGTGAAAATATTTTGTTTACTAATTGCGGTATCTTTGTAATCTGTGTATTCAGCCCAACTCAGTGGTTAGAATGGAAATGTATTAGTGTTTAATGTCCTGCTGTCTTGCACAGATAGGACTTATGAAGACGAACGCCTTACATTATACCCGGACAGCGACGCCACGTCCTAATCTTATTTCAAATTTCAACGTGTACACTGTTTTTCGTCCCATCCGAACGACTAGAAGGTGTTTTAGATTGGACAGGGGCGGTTGCATTGAGTCTTGAAAAACATAATGGACGATTAATAGTCAGTCGTGTAACAACACGGAATTAGATGTCGCTGTTTTGCGAGTCCCGAAAACAGGCCCCAAGTTCACAAAGCATTCTCAAACTTAAATTAAGAATTTACTAAACCTTTAATCCCTGTTTATCTATACTAATATTTGTGACTGTCGTCTGTCTGTCTGTCTGTCTGTTCGGGGTTGGCGGCTACACTAAGTCTGCCCCGAGTCTGAAATTTGGGGTATAGGGGTAGCTCGGACCGGGGAGTAACATAGGCCAGGTGGCGTTAGTCTACCACTTCCGGTTTCGGAGTTATGACCCCCGAGCGAAGTCGGAGTTGGCGGCTACACTAGGTATGCCCCGAGTCTGAAATTTGGGGTATAGGGGTAGCTCGGACCGAGGAGTAACATAGGCCAGGTGGCGTTAGTCTACCACTTCCGGTTTCGGAGTTATGACCCGCGAGCGAAGTGTGTCTGTTCGGGGTTGGCGGAATCATCTGCCCCGAGTCTGAAATTTGGGGTATAATGGTAGCTTGGACCGGGGAGTAACATAGGCCAGGTGGCGTTAGTTTACCACTTCCGGTTTCGGAGTTATGACCCCCGAGCGAAGTCTGTCTGTTCAGGGTTGTCGGCTACACTAGGTCTACCCCGAGTCTGAAATTTGGGATATAGGGGTAACTCGGACCGGGGAGTAACATAGGCCAGGTGGCGTTAGTCTACCACTTCCGGTTTCGGAGTTATGACCCCCGAGCGAAGTCGGGGTTGGCGGCTACACTAGGTCTACCCCGAGTCTGAAATTTGGGGTATAGGGGTAGCTCGGACCGGGGAGTAACATAGGCCAGGTAGCGTTAGTCTACCATTTCCGGTTTCGGAGTTATGATCCCCGAGCGAAGCCGGGTATCCTGCTAGTAAGAAATATCTTTGATCCAAAAACACCAAAAATGCACATAGTTTCTTATTGATGTATTTTTTGATACGTTAAAACAACAAAAGTTTTATAAAGGGCTATATGTTAGTTTAAAAAAGGCAAAAAAAAATGAGTAAATTCTTAACTTAAGTTTGAGAATGCTATGTGAACTTGGGCCCAGGTGTATTATTTTCCGTTGGGGCGTGTCTTTTCCCCAAATTCTAATGTTAAATCGTACCTGACCATAATTCATATAGATGAAAAAGTGTTTATTTAGAGAATTGTTTGTTAAATCATACTTGATGTATTATTTGATATGGATGACAAAGTGTTTTATTGTTTTAAAGGTAAAGTAAGGTGGAATCTGGTGTTTCTGATAACTATGTGTGTTACGGTGATGATACTAACCCTTTGGTCCAAGATACCATCGACTAGCATAAAACATCATGATCATGATCCGCCAGACAGGTCCCCGGAACCACATCCTGATGGTATGGAAATAAAACAGTCTCGTCTCAAACATCAAACGCCACGTGTTTATGAAAATGACACCACCCAGAATGATTCGCAAAAACAAACTTCGGGTACTTTCCCGCCATCTTGGAGTATCTCTCTAACGATCCGGATGACGAGTACGCCTAAATTATTACGCTTTGTTTTCTGTGATCTGTTAAAAAGTGTAGCTTTATATTGGACAAAGCAGCTGGGTGATGTCGCCATTATTCTGGACCAGGAATCCACAAAAGATCGAATTCTTGCATCCAGTCTTTTACATCACCAAGAGCAAATGGGGATGAGATTCAAATTCTTTTACGAACCATTACCAAAAGACAAAAATATTTTAAATAAAATGAAGCGCTTGAAATACAAAACATTCGGTTATAGGCGTCAATTATATTCTAGCTTTTTAATGGACAAATTCATCAACAGTTCGATCATAGCTTGGGTCGACACAGACACCAAATTTAAATCACCTGTCACATTAGAAACGATTTTTAAAGGTGAGAAGTTAAGGGTTAAAGGTATGAATAAATTTAAATTCGGGTATGTACGTGGATTTGACCGAGCGACCAAAATGATGATCGGAAAACCAATCCCCACCAACTTTATGACCTTTTTCCCGGCCTATATATGGAGAGATACTATCACCAATTGCAATAAATATATTTTAAAGTTCATGAAGGTCCGAACTATCGAAGAAGGGTTTATAAAAAATGACGGTCTTGCGTTTGTTAGTCCCGTGAACGTGTTTCTGACCTATGCTTATTATTTCGAGAAAGATCGATATGATTGGCATATAGATATAGGACGTGGGATTAGCTTGAAGAAATATAACAAACTATATCTACTGCCGGGTCACGAGCTGACCCAATCTGACGTCACTATGGGCATACACGTGACATTTCATAATAAATATTTTACAGATTCTAAAAATGTTATAAATAGACACGGTTATTGCGCTGCCGTGGATAAAACGTCTGTTAAACTTGACACGACAACTAGAGACATGTGTAAAAAGTTTCAAGGGGAGGTAATGTGGTCCCTGTTTATTCATCAGAATGGACACAATCATTTGGATACGTGGTGTGGAGGTAAACAGAAACGTCGACAGTGTTTGACCTATATTAATGACTATTACAGACAAGTGAGAGCGGCAATTAAAGATGGTGTGTATACATTAGATATAGATACAGTCAGGGCTGTGGACAAGGCAGCGGTATCAATGAATGTTCAATGTAAGCCTTTCTTCTATGGTGGTAAATAAACATACTGGTCTTACACATATATTATAAAGCCTGGCTTGACAATGCTAGGAGCAATAACATCAACGTTGTTTCAAAGGCATGATGGAATGGGGCTTAACGTACTAATGAATATAATCCTTGAGTTGCATTTAGCGATTGAGCCTATTAAAAAATACAACACAATTTATATGGAAAACAACCACTGGTTTATACACATATAGCACAACGTTTCGGCAAGACTATCCTCTTATTGTTTTCAAGAACAAACTTGAAATGATACATTTGTACTTGAAAACGATAAGAGAAACGTTGTGCTAAATGTGTTTAAACCAGTGATTATGTTGTGTATTTTTGCGCTCTAATGAACACGGGCATACGAGGGAAATTTATCCAGCGGAAAACTTTTGTCGAATTCCAACTGCCAAAAGTACCCGGGTTTTTGTCCCCACCCGAACTTTCTAAACGCTGTAAAGACCAATCGAACAAGGGATTTCCTCCTGGTTGGTGTGGCATCGTCTTACTGGCTGAACCGCCGTGTCTTCTACAAAGAAAAGACGGAGTTTTCGTGTTCAATCTAAAGATGCATTTCGATGACCCATACTTAGTGGAATGACTACCATTGATCGGCAAGCTTCATATAGATGGTCGTCGAAATAATAAATAATTTATAGTTAGAATTGTAACTGGAGTTGTCCTCCCCTCATCAACTATGTAATGTCGAGACTAACACATGGTACAATAGATTTAAAGACACATTATGTACGATTTAGATAAAGAGCTGACTGTTCTCGCTATAATAGCTTCGATCGACTGTCCAACCTCGTAGGCTTACTTGGGGTCCTAAGTGTTCGTCCCACTGCTAAAGACTCATGGATTATTGTAGGTTTTTAAAACTAGTGTCAAGTCGCTTGACACCCCGTGGATTATTCTGGGTACAGAGTCCTTTGACATTAGGCTGTTTAGCCAGTCCGGTTCGTAACAGAGCTTATCGGCGAATTAACTGGTTATTATAGGAATAGATTCAACAAGCCCGTAGCTAGCCCAGAAGGAAGGTGGGTGGGGGGGGGGTAAGAAAGGGCTTCTGGGGGTGCCGATTTTTCTACAGAAAAATTTGGAAAATAGAGTTTGTACCAAAATGTCAGAAAATTTTTAGAGGAACTTTGAAAATGACTGAAAATTTCAATTTTGAGGCTAACTTTGCGATATTGGCGTATTATGATATTTTTTTTGACCATTATGAAAATTTGAAGAGGGAATACGATTTTTTCTAGGAGGGGGCGGGGTAGCTACCCCTCTCGCCACCACCCACCCCGCTAGCTACGGGCCTGTTCAACCTGACTGACATCGATTGGAGTAATTCCCAGGGACTAGCTAAATATTCTTATCCCTGAACATTCCGTGGAGAGCTCTGCTTCAAGATTAAACCCCATTGTGAGTAAAATAATTTTATTAACATCATAAGTGACGGCTGACATATTAGGATGTTTTAATTAATCCCGCTTTGTGAACAAGATGGAATGATATCGTTCAGATATTATTCTGTTTACATAATAAGGTGTTCAATCTTTTCACACCTGTGGGGTAATTTTGAACGATACATAAATTTCCATTCAGAAAATTTTTAATTCATCAAAATACTTATAAAATTAACAATTCAAAAAATTAAGAATATGTTTTGCTTTAAAAAAAAAAAAAAATTAATGTTTTACTTTAAAAAAATTTTTTATCAATGTTTACTTTAAAAAAAATTTTTTTTTCAAAGTTTAAGAAAAAATATTTAGATGTTCAATCTTGCTTTAAAAGTGGGGTTACTTTGAACGGTTTATAAAATTGCATTCGATAAATTAATGGAAATTTAATAAATCTATCAAAATGTAACAGTAAATTCATTTGTTATAGATAATCAAATGCAAGAAACATAACAAATATTGTGAATAACCGGGGAGACGTTGTACATGTTCAAAGTTCCCACATTTTACTTTAAAAATTGTATATTATTAGCATTTTTGTACTTAAATTTTTATTTCTATTCAAAACCATCAAATACCTGTTTGAAATTTAACAAATATTAAAACACAATTTATTTGGAAAACAATGACTGAATTTTTTTCCCACTAAGTTTGAACAAGTTGCTCTTGTCGTTCTCAAGTAAGTAATGACAGTGTATTAGCAAGAAGTCAAATCATATACAACAAGGTAACAAAAACAATAACTAATTTGAAACCATCAAAGGAATAATAATAAGTGCAATAATAACAATACAAAATGTACCTCAAAGGTTCTGATTAAGGATTAATTAATATGCCAGTATTGTCCACTTGCTAATTTGATTATCCAATTGTGTTCACCTCATAATATAAAAGCACAGGATGAAAAATATTATAACTGCCACCCGTACCCAAGTTTTATCCTCTACTTTATATTATGGGGTGAACTCAATTGGATAATCAAATTAGCACGTGGAACATACTTTAAATAACGATCTATTATACAATATTATTTACATTAGAATTTTCATAAACAAAATTTAAAATAGGATTTTGTCGTATTGTTTTATTTACCTAGAGAAAAAGGTTAATGAATGATCTGAACACATTTCACAAGTCTTAAATAAGACATTTTTGAAAGAATTTATCAAAACTAACAACGGGTTATCTCTCTTAAAACACACAAAACAAAACTTCACATTCGCAACCCTTCTTCTATAGTATAACCAATCAATCTATAGTATAACCAATAAAATGACTCCCGTAATTCCGGGGCATCCTGGGGTACTACGTCAAAACACAATATAAAATACCTCCCTTAATATCGGGCAAGTCCCTAACAATCGGGGTAATACACATAGACAATACAAAAAGCGATGAGATAAACCCATTAATACTTTGAGAATGTTTATGTGTTAATTTCCAAATTACGATACTGTTAACCCAATTCCAGTTAAACAATCACAAAACATTTTACTTCGCCTTATAAACCTCTTAATACTTTGTTACTACTTATTTTAAAAACCAAAATATGTGTTCAAAAACAAACAACTATAATTTATGATCTTTTAAAAACAACATGACTCGGCCGAAACAACAAGGCCCACATATGTAGTTACGTCCTTTTCTACTACAAGCTTGATAGGCAACATATTTAATTTTTGAGTTAAGAACATCAGTTTAAATGTCATATTTCTTAATCATTTTGATTTAATTAGTAAATAGTAAAGGGCTCAAAGAAAATGTTTGAAACAATTGAAATTGCCATAGACAGCAGATTTTCCGAATGGCAAACTGAGTTGTTCACAATTGATTTCATGAAATACAGCAGTTTCCATAATCTTGATTTTTGCGAAATGAGTCTTAAATCCATAGCTCCAAAACGCTGATGAAAAGAAAACGGCTGATTAGAAGAAAGAAGGAGAAGGCTAATTAGAACAATGAAGCTCATAAGGAGGAGGCTTATCAGGGGGCTCATCAGGAGACTCACCAAGATACTTTTTGGATTTCTGAGGTCTGCTTTCCCTGCTAGCCCTGAAAAAGTAAAGAAAAGGGTTATTGTCATTGTTAAAATTTAACCTGAAAATAAGTTTTATTGAACATGGAGTATCAACGGAATGAGTACACTGGGTAACCGAGGATGCATGTATACTGGTTATTATAATAGTTTTAGGATTAGGGTAGTTTTACATGTATACTGGTTATTATAACAGAGTAAGGACCAGGGTAGTTTTACATGTATACTAGTTATTATAATAGGGTTAGGATTAGGGTGGATTTACATGTATACTAGTTATTATAATAGGGTTAGGATTAGGGTGGTTTTACATGTATATTAGTTATTATAATATGTGATAGAACTGGTAAATACATTCCAAATATAATTTTAACACAGAGATCATTGCTACGGGAGATGTGTAACAAGCACGTGAAGAAACGGGAAGTGACGCCAAACATGACAAACACGAGTTATCCTTCTATATATCTGACTGAAGTAACGAGCGATATGTTTGGCGTCACTTCCCGTTTCTTCGTTTGCTTGTTACACATCTCCCGTAGCAATGATCTCTGTGTTAAAATTATATTTGGAATGTATTTAACCAGTTCTATCACATATGTAATTATGACTGACACCAATATTGTCCTTTAATAGCTAATTCATACTGTAATGAAAGTTTACGTACAAGTAGCAAATGACAACTTCAAGTATGAGCTGAACTAAACCAAATACAGCAGGAGTACCAATAACTGCTCCAGTACCCTTCGAGTTTTTACCTGTAGAAATTCAATAAATTTAAATAAAGTTTGTATTATCGCCGAAGTATATCTGCTGGAGAGAAGTGTTTCTCCACACTATATTTATTATCGAAGTCTATTTGCAGAAGAACAGTGTCTATCCACGCTATATTTATATCGGATGGACATCAGTGTTTAACATTGTCACGTAGTTGATTTGTCATCGTGTCAATACTTTATCTTCTTTTTCGATATAATAATAGTTTAATTAGGAGATAAAACTTCCTGTTTCGTATTTAGAGGGGGTTTATTATCCATTTAACCATGCTTGAATTATCCATTACAACACGAGACGCGACAGAGGCGAGTTGTTCTAATGGATAATTCAAGCATGGTTAAAGCTGAACTCCGATTACAAAACTACAGAAATAATTAAATAAAAAAAAAGATTAACGCCCAAAATTATCGCCATACTTGTTTTCAAGTTGTATAACAATCATGACGATTGTACGGCATACAAAAACAGAGGCAGGCCACGCCTACATCCAGTTCACTACTTGTCATCCACACTGTCCACATCTGGCTAGCAATATTTCGGCTGACTGATTGACGTTTTTTCACTATCAGTTTACTGAAAATATTATTGCTACACAATTATTATGTCTGATCAGGTACATATTATTTTACTAATTAGACGAAATAAGTAAACCACGGTGTACTTTTGCTCTAAAAATATGAGAAAACTGCCTTACCCCAAACAATAACAAATCTCACCAACGCCAACAATTTTTTTCGTATTTCTTGAAATGTTTTGTACAACAGCGTGTAAACACCAAATAATTTCTGGTATTATAAAGTCTAATATTATCGTTCCAAAATATATCCAAAGCAGCAATAAAACTGTTGTTCTCTCCATCAAAGAAGTATGTTTTCACTTCAAAATATTCACCATCTTGTGAAGTAGTTATGTCCCTTGATGTTATGTCAACAACATAGAATTGCTTGGTGTTCTTTGATTTGTTATTGTTTGGGGTAAGGCAGTTGTTTTGTTTCTTATTTTTAGAGCAAAAGTACACAGTGGTTTACTTATTTCGTCTAATTAGTAAAATATTATGAACCTGATCAGATATAAAATTGTGTAGCAATAATACTTTCAGTAAACTGTTAGTGAAAAAACGTCAATCAGTCAGGAGGTAATTGGTAGTTGAAATATTGCTAGCCGGATGTGGACAGTGTGGTTCACAAGGCGTGGTCTGCCTCTGTCTTTGTATGCCGTACAATCGTCATGATTGTTCTACAACTTGAAAACAGGTATGGCGATTATTTAGGGTGTCAATTTTTTTTATTGGATTATTTTTGTAGTTTTGTAATCCGTAATCGGAGTTCAGCTTTAAATGGACAATAAACCGCCTCTAAATACGAAACAGGAACGTGTTTACAGATACTCTTGTTCAAAGATTTAGGGATTTCCTTTGGAACTATTTAGAAAACTTTTTTACAACAATTTTAAAAAGTCGTTATTTGGCCACGTGCTGGCGTTCATTTTTCATAATATTCTCAATAGATTTAGACCGTCCTCGTTTTCCTGCAAATTTAAAATGCTTGGGTCTCGAGGTGCTGGTAAATGATTTATGAAAAAAATGTTATTCAGATATCCACAAAAAATATTTTTAACGTTTGAAGATTTTTAAAAGAACGGGAATAATTAGTCTTATTGCGGTATTTAGAGACGAGTGTCATCGATAATTGAAATAATTCCGGCCTGCTATCCGGGTCTAAAAGAGGAGTAACTCTTGGCAACAAAGATGACTCCGCCTCGGGAGTTTCATTAAAGTTTTCAGCATTTATTGATTTATTTGCAGACTGTTATCACAATGTTGTGGCTAGTTCGTGTTCACACAATAGCAGTTCGTACTAACATCCTCAAACATACCATATAAAACTATGACAGTGATGTCTAACCTAAGATTGTACTGGTCGCTATGTATACTGTTCTGACGTGTGTCAACATATGCCAATTTTTGCATAACGATTAGGCCTATATTTCAGCTGCAATTTCCGACTCACTCATTATATTTTCAAGCGATTTCGTGTGCCTAATGACGTATTATTAGGAAGATCATGCTAGTCAGACTTTGACCAAAGCGTGATTTTAAAACAAATTCCACCTGATTAAGTAAAAATTGGCGAGTGAAGATGGCCTACCAAAAAAGCAAACAAATTTGTCCATACTGTCACTGCCTAGTAACGAATATAATTGGATACCTGAAAACGGGTTTAATTAATTCATTTGTGATTTTCTACTGTTTTATGTTTTTCAGAAATGTGTTTTCAGAAAAGATGATGTTTGAAAATGGTTTTGATAGTCATGTGTGCCGAATTTCTTGAAGATATTTGCCAATAAAGATTTGAGGAAGGAGTTGAGGAAGATCATTGAGCACAAAAACGAAAAAAATGTACACTGTAATATTTATACGCAGTAATTCGCCTTGATAATTTAGAGGGGGTTTATTCCCCATTCGATGACACTTTTCGATCAATCAGAATCGAGGAAATTTTTAATTTGTGCTATAATATATTTTTAATCCACCCATTACGGGTGTGCAAAGCGCTACATTTACATCACTCGTCATCAATAGTGTTTTCCGCTCAGACATTGCTTCTGTGGTGGCGCCACTACATTATCGGTTAATTGTTACGACAGATAGACAAGTCAGGTAAAATTATGTTTATATTTTAGAACACTGATTAATCTATTAACTTTGTACCAAGAGGTGATTGCCATACTTTGTGGTGTTCTGGTCTATTCTGTTAAATTTAGAAGTATGATACAAATGATTAAGTGCCTCGCTCGTGCAAACTGTATTATATTTATATTTATAAACAAGGTTCGCTTTCACAGATGTGATGTCTCATCAGACAAAATTTTAGCATTCTTTAAATCAGGATGAACATGCATTGTATGGGTATGCCACCCATTTATATATATAATGTTTGACACCGGATTCTCTGAAAGGGTACGTCACCTATTTATTTAACAGCCTTCTGTCGATTATCTTAATTACTGTAATCAATTACTACTTTGGGTACTACATTGTTAAGAGATTTGTAAAATGCAAATACGGAACATCATTTGTGTTGTCATTATTGAATTGTTATTAATATTGGTTTATATTATGTTGTATACAACGCTTTATTTGTAATATCAAATAATTATCATCCATCATCCATTCGGTGCACATGGCCTATCCAGCGAAGGCGTCTCTGACAGAGGAGGGCTAGCTACGAGAACGTAGCTAAAAGCGTTGAGATATACTGATGTGTTTGTTTTTAGCTACGATTGGATGCCTTTAGTTCCAAGTGGCAAACTCAGTTTCTTTATTAATGCACGTAACCTAGTAAAAATAAGATACTTTTATAATATTATGACCAATTAAAATTACAGAGGCCAATGTAGTGGCACAACTATCGCCTAACTTCGAATATTCGCGTTTAAATTAATGAAGCGTTGTTTTTATCCGTTTAAAAATGGCGTTCCTAGTAACGGCTTAGCGCCTTAATTTTAAATACGATGATTTATATTTGTTCCAGGTAGGATTGTAATGCTTAATTGTAGTTGGATGTGGCAGAAATATGATACATAACAATAATCAATCGTTGTTTAGTTGAAAACTATTGTCAATTTTGCTTACTGATTCTCGATGCGATTCGCGTTGGGCTTCGGAATACCTCTGTATGAGATGACTGGCCTTTATAAGTTCAAATGTCTTCTACATGTGACGTCACATCACGTAACGTAGATTATTGGCTCGATAGCACGTGCATTGTTTACATAACCTGAACACGCGCTGTATATACCCATTTACACTAAATAGGAAATATTTTTTATCCAGATATACTTCAAACATCATTATTTTTTTCTAATACTTAAAAAGAAAATGATGTTCTAGAATTTAATTTGCAGAGGAAAAAGTTAATATTGCTAGGTAATTAACCAGCCCCGATGTCACCCCTCTCAGTGGTTGTATCGTCCTAGCCAATTGTCCCTGCAGATCAGCCTGAGCTTCCATATGCAAATGAGAATTGTGGAAACAATGAAAGGTACTCGTTTGTTTTTTTTAAAAAAAAAACAAGAGCTGGCCATGACATAGAAGAAAATTTGCAATAGAGAATTTTACAAAAATGAAAAAAAAACAAAGTAATATCAAAAGACATTGTGAATTTATTGGCGGGAAAAAATATGAACTTTAAATGTGGGTGTGTTTACTCATTCATTTCCATTAAGGTAATCCCGCTAATGTGACATAAATTTGCTGGATTCGTCAAAAGGACGATTATGTATGTTTTTAAATATACTATTAAAAAAAAGTAGGGGATATTTGATTTTTAAGTGTTATTAAAGTCACCTAATGAAACTGACGAAGAAACAAATGACAAAATGAAATGAAGTTCACATTCATCGATTTATTCCAAATGATCGTTAGACTAAGTAAGGCACAGACTGACCATTATAAGGGTAAAATGATACCCGGGGTCAAACAGCAAAGTTACCACAGCATCACAACCAAGTCAGTAACGGGTAAATCCACCTCTGTTTGCCAAACAAGCATTGATCCGACGTGGCATACTCCTAATGAGACGTCTAAGGTCATTTTGGTCCAGATTGTCCCATTCCTGTTGCAACGCAGCAGCAAGTTCTTGGACATTGGCAGGACGTTGTTGACGTTGACGTAACCTCTGTCCAAGCATGTCCCAGACATGCTCGATGGGGGAGAGGTCGAGACTCAGTGCTGGCCAAGGTAATGTGGTGATGTTCTGTTGTTGGAGATAACCTGTAACGATCCTGGCCCTGTGACATCTTGCGTTGTCATCCTGGAAGATGAAACGGCGGCCATGACGTCGTGCGAACGGCACAACATGGACTGCCAAGATGTTGTCCCGGTAGTACTGGCCTGTAACACGCCCTGCAACAACATGTAAAGCCGTTCTTCCAGCAACAGTGATGCCTCCCCACACCATAACAGAACCACCCCCAAATCGATCATGTCTGATGACGTTAACGTCTTGGAAGCGCTCGTTTCGACGACGCCACACCCTCCTACGTCTGTCCAAAAAATCAACAGTGAACCTTGACTCATCTGAAAACATCACATTGCTCCAGCGTCGATTATCCAGTTAATTCCCGAACCGGATATACTAGGCAAAACAGGCAATGCGCATGTCAACAGAGTCAGAGCCATTTCACCTCTCGCATATCTCGCAAAAAGCGAAATTACGCAACTTACCAAATTAGTCATTGACGTCATCACACTTGGTTTTCTTCAACAAAATCATACGTCGGGCGCGAAGGTGACCCCTATGCAGTCGATTCCGAATCGTCTGGCCACTCACTCTCACACCAGTGTCTGTTTGAAGACGAGCGCTGATCTGATTTGCTGTGATGACACGATTTCTCAAGGCCAAGGTACGGATAAATCGATCCTGGGCTTGAGTTGTCGACCTGAGCGTGGTCTGTCCTGTACAGATTGTGTATCACGGTATCTGGACCATAGCCTGCTTATGACAGACTGAGAAACATTCATCGTCCGCGCCACAACCGCCTGTGTTGTGCCGATCTGTAGCATGCCAAGGGCACGTAACCTTTCATTTTGGGTAAGCCGACGCATATCAAAATTTGTTTTCTGGTCACTAAAACAATTAAACTGATGTTTCCACCCTGGAATTCAATGCCACAATGACTGTAACATTCAAAGTCAGAGTCGTGCAAATCTTGGGTTGGACCCCCATGATGATCCCAAGCATCACCTGCATTCCATGCGGTAGCTATTGGTGCGTTTGGGCGTCACATGTAACTGGAAATGTTTCTTCTGTTAGGTTCTATAGTGACTTTTTTCGTAGTCATTTGCATATTTTAGTATTATGCCCCCAAAATCAAATATCCCCTACTTTTTTTGAATAGTATACTATATATGGCGTTGTGGTAATACTTATACTTACACAGAAAATAAGTTGCTAATCCTGCAATAAGCACAGATAGTAGAGGTATTAGTATCATTGGTATCAGAAAGCGAAATTTTCCTTCTAGAATAAAAAAAACAACATTTCCTTAGAATGTTAAATACATATTTAGCTTGTGATAATATGAAACTACAGCGAGTTTAATACCATTATATAGTTATTGAAAAACATTATAATAATCACACACTCTAAAAACTACTGCGAGCTTAATACTATTATATAATTATTGAAACCTTTATAATAATCACATTTATACTTACTGCGAGCTTCCTTCTTACGTAGTTTTACAATAGCAACTATAATGACTACCACGGGAACAAGTACAGAAATACCAACTACTATTCCAGTAATTTCCGGACAAGTCAGACCTGGTGAATTATCGGTTTCCACGACTTTGACTTGAAATAAAAGAAGTTAGATTATTTTATTATTTAATATTGTGTTGACTTGTTTTGATTATGACGATCTGGCTTTGTTGAAGATTATAAAAATATACAGATAAAGTTTTATAACTGATATTGTATTACACTGTTGTCATTACTCCAATATACAACTTAAACTTTCGAAACATTTTTTCTTTCTCAAAATTCCTCCATTGCTAATTGCAATAACACAACTGATTAACTCATCTATTTTGATATATCGTCTGGTGAATCTATTTCTTTTCTAATACTTACAAATGTAAATAAGCATTGAAATGTGATTCGTGAGAAACTAGTCTATTGTAAGGTGTCCAACCGTAAATAAATATCTCGACAATTACACCATAATATATATATATATATACTCAGCCAAATCAAAAACTTGACACTCGGGATTTTTGGGACTAGATTTTCTAATATTTGGTTTAAGGCAACTATTTTAGTGTTATGTTGTGCACAGACGACCTTGACATCAACAGAAAGCAAGAATACGTCTCGCCGAAAGTCCTTGACATTGATAACGTTCGTGATGTCACAGTACCCCCCAAAATGAAATTCACAGACTTGGAGAACAATCGGAATAAAGTGTTTAGTAACGGTTGTGGCCTCCTCTAGCGTCTCGTACTGCCACACACCGTCTTCTCATGGATCCCAGAACATTAGTAAACACTACCCGAGGAAGACGTCGCCACTGCTCAGCAAGAGCATGTTGAAGGTCCTGCAACGTCAGTGGTGGATTCACTTGCTGACGAACACGTCGCCCCAGTTCGCCCCAGATGTGTTCAATAGGATTAAGGTCAGGGCTAAGCGACGGCCAATCCAGGACTTGGACACCGGCATTTCTTAACAAATTCTGGGTAGCAATTGCTGTATGGGGTCGAGCATTGTCTTGTTGAAACGTTAGTACAGGTCATTTTCTAACAAAGATGAAAATAACAATTTTAATTTTTTTTTCCAGTTCAAGTTACGCGTGCGTGTTCAGTTTAAGCAAACGTTGAAACGTTAGTCCAGGGCATTTTCTATCAAAGATGAAAATAACAATTTTAATTTGTTTTTCCAGTTCAAGTTACGTGTGCGTGTTCAGTTTAAGCAAACTTGCATCGATTGACCTTACGAGTTTGTGTTTTGCAGGTGTTTCATCTTTATATGCTCAAAAGTCACGTGATCCACGTGACTTTACAATTTTATGAAATTAAAGGCTTCTTACTACTTACTATCGTTAGAAACACTTTAATATTTATTTGACTTACCAGAAAAAAAAATTGTTAAAATTCATCAGTGTCAAGTTTTTAATTTGGCTAAGTATATATATAGTCACAAAATAAACGGTCAAGGGTATCGCTGCCAATATTAAATGCTCTGCGACAATGTCGTTTCCATTGATTATATGTAAAAAGTACAATGTGCAAAGTCCTAATACCGATATTGATGAAGTCAAAATACATTTAAGGCAAGAGTTAAATGTAAAACGTCAAATGTTAAGTGTTAAATGACAAATGTTTTGTTGGAAAATGCCTTTTTTGACGTGTCTACATTTCACATTTCTCTCATTACATTTTACATTTGCGCTCTACAACATCCCATTTGTCCTTCACGCTTTCTACATAGCAACTTTGGCACATCATCAACTTGCATATGCAAATGTAGGATATCACGTGACTTATTAACATATATGGAAACCCGGCACGAGCACACTATAAGGAAATCAAGCTGGCACACCATAAGAAACTATCTAGACGACCGTGCGTAATTTTAAATGTGCCAGGGAATAGTCAAATCAATGGATGAGCTGGGGTTTAACAATATTCATTCATTACGTTTTCCTTTGTTTTCTCAAAATAAGAAAAAAGTGAGTTACTAGGTTTTGCCTTTTGACAGGAGATTTGAAGTATATTTAAAATGAAATAGCCAGTCAGGTGTACCTTATTTTTAGCATATCTTTAAACTCATTCCCGTGCATACGAAATCCCTTAACCTGTTACTGTAACGGAAACCAGAGTAAACTGGTATTTTAAATCCATGCTTTTTAGAATTATCAACATAGTATTTCACTTATATGAAATATTATTGTAATATTATGCACAGGTTTAGTTTAATACACATGTTCGATATGCCAAGCGTAAGGTTATTCCCTAATATTTGAAGAAAAGTTTATACTGCAACCTATAACATTTTATGTGTATATGTAAAATACAGGTGTGAAAAAGTGATCTATAACTTTTATCAAATTGACCTACAGCTGGTTTTGATAATATATATAATATTGCCCCTTCAACTCTGTATGTAAGTCACGACTGTCTGTGTTGTAATTAAACATCTAATTAATTCAATATGTCCTTTACAAGCTACACATTATCTGTGTACAACACTCGGCAGAACTTCAAAGGATATACGTACTGGTCAGTAATCATACTACGACGTGATAAGAAGAGAAATGAAAATGAAATGAAATGGGGTTTAACATCCTACTGTTCTGATCCTATACTGGGCTAATGAACACGGGCATACGCCATACAGTGTGCTATGAAGGAAATTTTGCCCGGGCAGCGGCACTGTCGCCTACTCTTAAATTATATTGAATTCCAACTGCCAAGGAATCTTTTATGTACATTCCAATGTATACACGGGACCTCGGTTTTTCGTCTCATCCGAATGACTAGACAGTTGTCCTTGTCAGGCCCTCCGTCTTGCATCACTGACAAGGGGAAACCACGCCGGAAAATCGGGATGAACTTTCTCGGCGAATGCAGGGATCGAACACCCGACCTCCAAGCTAGCGAGCCAGCGTCTTACCCACTTAGCCACGTGATCCCCGTGATAAGAAGATAATTCCATATATTATGATCTGTCCCGGTGTAAATAAACCCTATATTTACGAAACTGATCTCTGTAGATCACTGTAACACTATCTTAGTGATAACAGAGATCAGTTTCGTAAATATAGTGTTTATTTACATCGGAACAGAATATCAAACAGGTACATAACTACAAAAGGAACATATATTAAGCAGAAACTAGACTATGACATGAGCACATCAGGACGGTAATAACTATATTAAATCAACCATTCCGCCCCTCTGTCAAGGCAGTGGCTGAACTCGTCCAAGCCTCTCGTCTCGTCTCTGAACGTATGTTTATGTCTAACTGTCAGCAAACTCCATGTTATATAGCGTCCGACAGACTCACTAATCCCCGGTTAGTACTTGGCAGTTATATATAGGCACACCAAAACCAAACTCATCCCAGATCGTTTTCATGTACTCCGGATACAAATTCCGTGCTGTAGATAGCCCACATTCGCAAAACATTGTACATATTTTACATTTTACGTAAATGGCAGGGGGCATAACTCTAGAACAGAAGGGTTGATGCATACGAATATCCACCTCATCCAAGATCTTTTGATTGTTAACATGTTTATATTGACATAACCGTCACCACTGTCCACTGTCCTGTGGTCATTGACATGTATTGGACCGTAACTTTATGTGGACCCTATTTGTAGTAATATGGAGGGAAAGAATTTGTGCTTTGAAACATCTATGTAAAATAATATTAGGATTTTGATTAATTATTCTCCATTGTCAATATATTAGTTATGGTATAAGTTAAATTCTGAAACGCAAATTAAATTGGCTATGAATATTGTGACAATAACCAGACATGGTGTCTAAAGACAAGAATGCAGAAATATGATGGCTGGAACAATAGCATTATCTTTCATATTATTGATTCTAACTTCATAACCACAAATATGGAAGGTATATGCCTGTTATTTTGATACGTTAACTGAGCTATAGATTAATGAGCATGTTGGTCATTCACATTTTTCTTTGTTATAAAACATATATCATATTTGTTGACCAAATAAGGTAACAATCCCTGGCGATGTTCAGTTTGGGGTGCATGTCCTTTCCATATTTAGAACTTATTTGTTATCAGTCTTTAGATTAACACCTCAAACAAAGGAATAGGCACCTACAAAATAGGGTGGGGAAATAGCATTCGGCAGAGCTCACTCCGCCGGCCATACCAGTCATTTAGTTATTTGACACTAGGAAGAATTGTAACACTTCCAGTTTATAGAAATAAAGTATTTTAAGAAAAGAACCTGAACTGTAGTTGTAACTTCGTCACGGAAGAAAACACAGCGTGAAGATTGAATCTTGAAGATTGAACAACTGATAGTACTACAGTTAGATTTAGAGCCGTATACCAAGACAGTTAGTATTAATTATTCTGTGAGTATCTCTTTTTTGGTTTTCGCTAAATTCTATCTGAAACAATGGCTGAGGAAATTTTCAGAAATTTAAGTACCCAATTGTCAGGCTTGTCTTCTTCGATTTCCACGAATACGGTCGCGAATATAATTGAACCATACAAAGGCGACCCGAAACTATTTAAAGATTGGGTTAAAAATATCGAAAAATTTTGCTTTCTCGCTGCAGTCCCGGAGAATAAGGTAAAGTTAGTAGCGTTTCAGTCAAGTAGGGGAGTGGTGAGTAATTTTATTCAAAGGCAGATGGTAGCGAATTAAAATGTGACGTGGGATGCATTAAAAACAGAATTAATTAATACTTTCTCAGAAATTACGGATACCCAACAAGCGTTGGCGTTACTACGGAAAATTAAACAAAAACCCGATGAAAATGTACAGGTTTTCGCGGAGAGGATTTTATCCTTAGCCGGTGAAGCCTTTCCAAATTATAGCGGACAGCCGGAATTTGATAGGCAATTAATTAGTTTTTTCGTTGACGGTCTTCAGCAAGAGTACATAAAAACAAAAATATTGCGTGAAGATCCGCAAACAGTTATCGCAACAGTTGAGATGGCTAGGCAGGAACAAAATATTAGAAAAAGGTTTGCGTTGAGATTAGGAGCGCCGCATACCCAACCAAGTCAGAACAGTAGGGAACATGAACCCATGGATATTGGCCATATAAGACCCCGCACGTGTGGAATTTGTTATCGTCGAG